GCCTCGGGCCATAAACAAAGCAGTGATCAGGAGCTGTATATAGAGGTCAAAACTTAAATCTTTCAAACATATCATATTCACCTTAAAAACGTTCCTCTCTAATGTGACATTCACTCTTCTCCCAGCTCCCTTTGCAACCATGACTGGCTTAATTCAACTTTTCTCACATGTGCAGTATTCTTTAGACAAATTCTCACACATTTAGGAGTATTATTTGACAATTAGCACCTCTTTTAATAAAATATTACATTAGTTTAATACTGAGCTTCAATATCGGACTATCTTACTGACCGCAAGACTCAAGTACATCTCTGAATCAGTCATCAAATTAATTTCATAAAAATATGCACATTTATTTTAAAAGGGCCCAAAAGCCCATTACTTTGAAGTATAAAATTGATGTATTAAGCCGAGTATCCAGCACCCATACTAATTACTTTCCCCGTTTGCTCATAGAGAGCTGCTGAACTTATACAACATTATAATCTGTACAAACCAGAATTAGATTTTCAAATTGTTATGGCCTTAATGAAGCTGAAATGGATTCTAAAGATGTATGGTCATTATAGAAAAATGTGGATCATATATTATTCGGCCACTTACACAATACATACACACATTTGTCTCACTGTAGCATCATTGAAATAAATGTATCATAAGGACCTTCTTTGCATAGACCCATGTTTTATACAAGAGTGCTTAAAATAACTGAACATTTATCAGTTGTGTTAACCTCCCATTTACTAAAGTGTTACATTTAAAATGTTCACAAAAACACACTTATGGAGCTATAAAATAAACAGAGTGCAGGCTTAATGAGGTTGGAGAATTGACTGGAATAGGGGAGAATTGACTTCAACACTAAACAAAAATATTAAAATATTTTTTCTGCTTGTACACTAATAAATACTGATGTTCTATGTCAAGATCAAAATATGAAAGGTTGAGGGTTTCTTTACATAGACTTATGATTTATTTCTCCACAAATGTATTGGCTGGTTTATTAACTGTAATCAATTCTTTGCAGCAAGTCGGAACAAGACTACAAACATTACTATTTTCCAAATGGAAAAATGGCTTGTATTAGTTTTTCTGTAACAATGATTTTTGTTTATTTGAGATTGGTTGTCCATTAAGAGCTAATTTTGCCCAAGGGCAGCTACCCAGAACTGTTTAAAAGATAAATGGATTCAGGTGGCATGGACTGATAGGAGCCCTAGTGAAGTGTTTATTCTTCAATCTCTGAGTACAATTAACACCCAGGATTTGCATTAAGCAGCAGACAGTACTCTTCATACTGAGTTAATAAATATGTATGATAAAAATCTGCTATAGAGTCTCTCTGCTATATCATCCTTATATTGCTGAATAGGGAACTTCAATATCATTGAGGCAAATCCCTTTGTGCCAAAGGAAGTCTATTTTACTGATTGAATATGGGACACAGTCATCTAACTGAAGTTATGAAACTCAACTCCACATATAGAGAAAGGATTTCCAAATCAACTTAAGGTCTGGGAAAGTGGGGGAAATTGGTTGGAAAGATAAAGACAGAAGCAGAAGTGATTCAGAGAAATGGTAAGAAGCTAACGGCTCTTACTCTTCCTAAACTTCTGGGAAGAAATGTTCTTTTGGACCTTAAGTCCTTCATCTGTATCACTGTAGTTCCCAAGCACACTTTGTTGGCCCATTCTCATACTGACCTTCAAAACAACTACTATGAATGGTTGCAACTTTTTTTAAAACCTGCTGAGGGTGACGGGAAATGTCATCACTTTATCAAGTATTTAGTCAGGAACCAAAGTGCTGGACAAATTAGAGTTTGATGATGACATGAGGGGTAAAGGGACCACAGGAGTGATGACAAATCATCATAAGGAGAAATTCATGTAAATACAGAACGTGAGGGTCATTGTGGCACTAAAAGAAAATTCAGAACATCAGCAAAATCTGTAGGAGTCACCTTCTGTGGAACATACATTTCTGTACCGAATGTCATGACTTGAATGCTACAGCTGGGGTACGTCAGTCTTGCCAAGAGTGGTAGGTAATAAACTACATTTTAATCCATACAGCTATTACAGTTGGTTTGAGCTCAAACCTGTGTGAAGATTGGGCTTTACAGCTGCTTTCTATGGTTTGTTTGTTACCAGGAAAAGCAAGCCTCTGATCTACCTGCCAAGTGACAACAACAGGCTTAGTTAGTGACTAGCTACTGAACATAGAGAAAGAAAAACAACCTCACCGTGTCTCCTCTCTTCTCCTAGAAAAACGTAATGTTACTAGCATGAGAACTGTAACCGTTTGTTCGTTGGCCGGAAACATGACTCAAAAGGAATGCTTTTGCTGCACTCTAATAATGTGAACATCAAATTCAATTCTGAGCCATTGACATCATATTGTTTTGTATCGTAACTTAACGTTAACGTAGCATAACATATTGTAACATATATCATATTGTTTCGATTCAGCTCTTATCATATTTTATCACACATGTCCTCCATCAGTATAAACTCTTATATTTTTGAATCTTTCAGTCACAACAATGCATATCGAAGTTTAAATCAGGGTTACAGAAATGAATCTAAAAAAGCACATTTTTGCAAGGTAAACAGTCACTATATGAGGAAGTAGCTGTGAACTGGTTCACTAACATCTACCCCATAAATTAACCACTCAGGGTGAGACATAAACCTCATTTCACAGTCCTAAACTGATCACATGCTGCACACAACTAATCCAAAGAGACAAAAACACGCACACATGAACACAACAACCTGTCCACCAACACAACAGTCACATCAGACACGTGTATTTTAATTACACATTTACTGGAATTTCCATTCACAACAATACAGGAACAAGTCACTTTCTTATTGTTCAGACTATAATGTTTTTGTGAGGTTTGTTGCTTTATTGTAGCATAAGAAGATATAAATTCTGAAGAAACAAACAAAGGAGAAACTGAGTGGGAGAGATGAAGACTTTAAACAGAGGGAAAGAGAACAGCTTCTGGGGACTAAAACCTTTAATGTAACAATTTAAACACAATAAAAAAAAACCCACTCATCAGCAACAGAGACACAAAACTGGCCGACAAAAAGACGTATCAGACGGAGGAGAGAGGCAGGATGTGTTAGATCAGCCGTCAAAATGAGATGAGAAACATTTTCTTCTCTGCTGCAGCAAATATTATACGGAAAGGGACCAAACCAAAATGAAAAGATATGATTTAACAAGAACGAGCCCTTTTTTACCACATTGAAATGCAATGCGTCTGATAGAGAATAAAAGACCCCCAGAGACAGCTAAATATATCCATGCCATTACACAACGAAATAGAAAACCATTTGTGAAACACATGAAAACTGTAATTACTCCCATCAGCTCATTTGTTTTTGTTTTTATGATACTTCACATGATCAACATGCTTTAGTTATGGCCAATCGTGCTTTACATGTTCAAAAATACACAATCAGGAAAACACTGATACAGCACAAGGTTTTGTCATTCGTCAAATATGGGCTGATTGCTTTAGCAATTACATGGTTTAATTTGTTAAACCAATAAAAATGGAGGAAAATCGGGGTTGGGGGGGACTGAGAAAGCAAGGTTCTCAAAAAATATGGACAAACCACATTATAACTGAAAAAATGAACAGTATTGGACAGTATTGCCAAATCTTAATGTGAACTTCAATGCAAGTTAGCCCTGAAAAGACACTCAAGAGTGGCAGTGACCATCTGGGCTCAGTGAGCGACTAGGAGCTGAGAAGTAAATTCAGACTGAGAGGCTACAACCTGGCCAGTGAGGCCGGTGGAAACAGACAAACCTGGACAACGTAAAGACAACAGACAGAGCTAGCTCTGTCAACAACCGGAATAGGAGACAAAAAAACAGCACTTCCTGCCTCATCGCAGTCTGTCAGAGGACATTATTGTGAGGTTATTTCACAAGATTAAACTCAGGATTACACACTTTAAAGTCAAACCAAAAAGAAACATTTACTCGGGCTGTGAAAGTTGCCATGGATTTCAAAGTCGAAGTGAAGAAAGGCATCTATTATATAACAGCAGATTAGCATTTTAATGGTGTAAATAGTTGAGGTGGGCCCAATTTACAATTTTATAACGGTGTAAGTACTTTAATTTATAATATTTTATAAAACAATATTGTAGATTAGATTTTATATGTACAGGTCTTCAGAGAAAATAGGCTCTCTTCGATTTCTCTGAAATGCCATTGAGTGAAATGTCATTGAGTGAGAGTATATCCACAGTATAGTTGCATTAAATGTAAAGTATAAGCATGCGGTGATACTTAAATGCAGAATTGAAGTATATGTGAATAATTAGATTCCTGTAGTTGCTTAAGAAACAATCTTGTTTGTTCAACACCCTCATAATAAGTAGGCCTCTTGGGCTATACAGTTAATTGTTCAATTATATCGTATTTTTTTAGATATTCACTTTTTTGGGTAGCCTGATAATCCCTTTCACTTTTGTGTACTCCTTGAAATGTAAGTTACAGTTGTTTTTTTGTAATTCTCTAATTCTACATTATAAACCCTGTTAATACAACATTCTGGACTAGAATTGAACGAAACAGAGGAAGATCAGTAGCAGAGAGAGTACGTTAATGAAATTGTAGGCTAATTGTAATTGGTTATACTGTTTGTGTCAGATCCATACCCATAAAGCAGGCTGCGGTTGTTGAAATGAAATTGAAGGGGAAGATAAAGGAGTGGTTCACACAAGGACATGAGTGAAAATAGTGAGAGGGTGCAAGAACTGATAAAAGGACGATTTTAATATGAACCTATAACTGCAGCTTCATCAACATATAGCTAGGCTTCTCGTCTGTCACGCCAATAAAGCATAGCCTATTTGAATTTGAAGAGGGAGATGGGGGGGGGGGGTGGGAGGGAGAGAGAGAGAGAGAGAGAGAGAGAGAGAGTTGTTCTGGCTTTCATCAGTCACATCTCGCAGTGGGAGGGGGATTGAAGCGGCTGCCTCGGAGCTCTCCGGTAACAGAGACGGTAGACGGCTCTGACTCACGCTGACGATCCGCACACAGCAACATATCAGACTCCACCTGACCTGCAACCTGACAGGAGGTATTTGATGAAGGCTTAGGGCAACTTTAACTCGGCTTTCTGTTTTTTTTTTTTTTTTTTTTTCCCCTTCCTTCATCCTGCCCTTGGCGGCATATTTCTCTTGTATCCCGGGCATCAAACAAAGTCAGAATGCATGTTATTGCTTCATAAACACCAGATGGCGGGTGGTTGAAATAAAACACATCACAGAGTGCTGGGACGGGACAAGGTGTTTTCCTAACCTCTTTCATAACAACTACGGACGAGTGAACTTGTTTTCTTTTTTTTTTTCTTCTTCTGGTTGCGCGCGGACCTTGTAGCCTATTTTCACCGCTTATTTTCCTCAAACATCAACGACACCTTTCTTTCCCTCCTCCAAACGCCACTTCTTCTTTCTCTTTCTTCAACTGTCATCACTTGTAAAACACATCAGCCACCGCGGAGACAAGACTTCACTGCCGGCGGTAAAAAAAAAAAAAAAAAAGGAATCAAAATAACAATTTAGTCTACTAAGACACCGGATTGGACCTTCAACAAGGATGCTACTCCCGCACCGACACTCCTAGACGGTCCAAACAGCCGCTGCCAACATGTTCAGGCGAGGTAAGAGAAAGAGGATTTCACTTGTTTTCTACGATTGCTGAGCTGTTTACTGTCGCTGATGTGTGTGTGCCTTCAAGTTAATACACATTCCTAGAGTTTTCATGCTCTTAACTGTGAGACTTTGGCTAAATGGTGTCACAGATGAGCCTTCTCTCGTGCTTATTTAACAACTTGCCATCCGTCCTTGATCCGCACAAGGGCCAAGAATAGAAAGGGATATTAAATATTTATCCACTTCATGGTAAAAAATGATCCTTAAAATAGCGAACCGCTGCCGCACTGCAGTTTGTAGGACCTACCTGCGCGAGGATGGTCGGTGCTGTTGCTGCTGCTGCGCGCGCCTGAGTGCGCGAGAGAGCAAAAGGAAAAAGAGTGCGTTGGGAATAAGTTCATAATTGTTCATTTTGGAACAAAACTTCCATCGTTTTTTTGGGACTTTGTGTGTGCACACGCAACTCTGCCAGAAATGCCGGTGCGCTTGTGCGCTCGTGTGGATATGTTGGCGTGACAGAAAGAGGCGGCCAGCCTAACCGTAAGAGAAAGAGGCGGCCAGCCTTACCGCGGCCAGCCTTACCGTGAGAGAAAGAGGCGGCCAGTCTACCAACATAAATACATTTTGACTTCTGTCCGCGCGGCGAGAGAGGGTGGCGGAATAGTACACAAGAGTATAACTGCGCGCGCCTATTGCCGTGCTGTTTACATATCAGCACTCGGTTGTTTTGTGGTGAGAAGGGGCAGGCTGTTAAGTTTTACCTAAATGACCTTGCCTGTGTACTGTGAGCCTCTATTCTCACTGTCAGCCTTTTCTTTTCTCGGCTTGCATGCGCACAGCAGGTGCAATTAGCATCACTTGTCTCAAATCATAAAAAGCCTTTGAAAATGGATGTTTCATGTTTGAAACTCCACTTGTTATTCCAAGACTTCAGATATGAAATATGAATGATACACACCACACACTATTAAGAGGAATTTAAAGAAAAGTATTTGTGGTGACTCATCTATCAATCACTCTGAATGAAGCAGCGGGATTCTGGTGAGAGGCAGATTGTCAGGCTGCTGTTTGGTGATGAGTGTAGCACACAGCTGACCCTGAGAACATAGTAGAAAATCATTCTTTAATGGCGACACTCGAAGTCTGTCATTTGTCATTTCACTGCAACCCGACGCCAAGGAGGACGAGAACACTCATACATCCATGCACATCATTATCTATTAGCTCACATGGTTGGCTTGAGTCCGGGCACAAGCTGGGCGATCTCCTCATTAAGGGTGGGACCTAATGGGCTTGACAGAGGGCTGATTAGAGCTGTCATTGTGTGCGTATGAGTGTGGTTATGACGAGGAGACACAGTGAGCTTGTTTGCTAGAGGGAAACCATCTTTAATTTTTCTGTAATTTCAGATGGAGAGTACCCACCCACCACACACACACACACAGGACACACAGCGGTGATGGCTTTGTATCTCCTCCTACAAATATGTGGCTGTCAGAGACAATAAAAAAAATCCAGAGTAATTGTTCAGCCAGCCTGAGATACAGTTATCTATGTCTGTCACCTTTACCCACAGTATCTCTCTGCAGCGGGATAAAACAAGTGAGAGAGAGGGAGGAGAGGGAGGATAAGTGTTTTTGTGTAATGAAAACTCCCTCTCTCTTTCTCTCTTTGTCTCTCTCTATCTCTCTGCTTGGCTGGCTCTCACTGCCAGCCTCAGTCTGAGAGCAGAGAGGCCTGGCAGGCTGATTGGCGACTAGCTGGCTGGTTTGGGAAGCTGCCGAAGCTTTGTTTCCCAGCGTGTTTGAAGCTGGATTTGTTTCCCTTACTTGACTTTGCCCCCGCTTCTGCCAGTCCTCAGTAGTTATTTCTAAAGTTTACACAGTAAGGAACATACGGACACCTTGTGAACAGAAGTGACGTGCCAAAACTAACAATTCATTTAAGTAGAGTGTATTCTTTTTTTTATTTTTAAAGAACCCACTCAAAAGCCTTATTTGGCCCTTAGAAAACATTTAGAGCTGAATTTGGATTTTTCTCTCCAGCTATGGCCTGCAACAAACTATCTTACCAATTCATCCAGTGATTTTTTCTTTTTTACCATTCTTGCTTGATGTAGGATTGTAGCTTTTCAACAGTTTCCGGTCTCCCACTGTCGTGTTTCACGTTTCATAAGGGACCAAATATTTTAAATGATTCATAAGTCATAACTGCAGGCAGGACAGTTAAACACCCAGACTCTTTTACTACAGAGCCGTGCTGTTGAAATACGTGCAGAATGTGGTTTTGCATTGTCTTGTGGGAGGCCTTCCCCCGAAAAAGACTTTATCTATTCTGCAGCATATACTGCTCCACAACCTGTAATGTATCATTCAGCATTAATGGAGCCTTCACAAATGTGCAGGTTACCCGTGCTAGTGCTCTAATGTACCCTATACATTCATGAATCCTGGCTTTTGAATAGAGCGCTGATAACAAGCTGGATGTAATGTAGATAATGAAATCCCAAGATTCCTTGCAATTTTTTTTTTTTGTTGAGAAACCATTTTCTTGAACTGTTGCACTATCTTCCAGTGCAGTCTTCCACAAAGTGGATTCTTAATTCAGACAGACTCAGCCTATCTGGGATGGTCGTTTTTATACCCAATCATGTTACTAACCTGTTGCCAGTTAACCTTACTAACTGTGAGATAGTGATTTTATTAGCATTTCTCAACTTCTCAGGTCTTTAGTTGCCACTGTCTCAACTTTTCTGGAAAGGTGTTGCTGGATAAAATTTAAAATGGGAATACATTTTTCAAAAACAGTAGAAGAAATGATCAGTTTCTGGATTTGCTATGTGGAAGCATTAAAGTGGACAAAGCTTTGGAGTCGTGACAATTGTGAATAAGACTATGATTGATCTGTACTTACTTTTACGTTTTACTTGTTTTTTTTTCTGTTGGAAGAAATAGGAACAGTGATTTTGAAAATTGCAGATACAAGACAATGGTAACTTCACATTAGAGTTTAGTTTCCTACAATTTGATTGATGTTTCAATGTAAGTCCACATTCTTTTAATTCTAATGGGAATAGTATGACTTTAAGTTGAGCTTTGTGGATGCAGCATGGTTTTGCCCATATATTTGTACATTTAGGGGGTATATTTGAGCTGGAGTAAAAGATGGTCATCAAGAGCTTATCCAGAATGAAATTCCTTCCTCATTGTGAACTTGAACTTCTAACGGCATGACACGGTCTCTTCTTCCAATCTTCTTAATATGAGTTCATCCCCTTACTTTCACTCTCGCTCCCAGCAAGGAATATTCTATAATCCACTGAGATTTGCAATACATGAAATGATCTGTGATGATTATGCATACATAACTCCAGCTGTGTGCTCAAATTCACAGATCAATATCAATGTAGGATGGTAAAATTTGCAAGTCATTCTTCTTCCAGACTCCAGCTTCAGCCTTGCTTGAGGGCCAGCGTCTTTTCTCCGGGCTTAACTGTGAACAAAGTCCGTCCTCATTATAAAACTTTGCAGCAGGATTATGGACTTCCTGCTCAACTTGATCCTAAATGAACGAGAAGTTTGACCTGATTTACCCCAACATTGTCATCACAAACTGTATGTCCATGTTTAAATGCTCCATGATGTGTGTACAAGTTATTCATGGTAATTAGCTGAATCAGCCTGCTTTCCCATTGGCTGAATTTTATGTCACATCTCTACTTTCTCTCTGTACACACAGTTTTACGCACATATTTTGCCCGCAGGCCAATTTCAAGTCTACAGTCAGACGATTAAAAGCTGGAGCTGTTGCTGCTATCTGTCGCTGTGTTTGTGTGTGTGTGTGTGTTTACTTGAATCTATGATAGCCTTGGTGGATGATAATAACATATGGATTAGTGACAAAATATTTATTCGGGTCGTGAAGCACCAAATGGCGGGATAATTGGGAGCTGAGATTGATCCAAATGTGCTCTTGCAGTGCCATCATCCTGAGGCAGTGGACAGATTTTTACAGCTGAGAGTAAAAGTCGTACGCTATATAGAAAGACCTAAATCATCACAGGTTTTGATGGCTTGAATAGGACTCATATGATAATCAATTACATCTCTAATGCAAGTCAGATCCAAGTGGGGATGAAACGCATCAGCACACACACACACACACACACAGTGAGCGTGCGATGGCCGTGCATATCAATGACCTTTGCAACCGCTCTTCTTGCCTGATCTCAAGGTCGCATACAGACTCCTCCTTTCTTCTCCTGAATCCCGAGCTAAGTGTGGTCCAGCCTGCTGAATTCCATTTAATCATTTAAGTTGCACCACAATAGTCCGGAACGTCCACAGCATTTCAAACTGCACGCACTGTGTTGAAATATGTTTAAATAATCACAGGGACGGATGTTCTACAGCTCCTAGCTTTTACACTGGTGAACTCTCACACAAACCCCAGCGCCACAAAAGGCATAACAACAAACCCGGCATGAGCTGGAATTGTTTTCGATGCTAAATAAACAAACAGCAAGTGCAGCAAATTACGCCGTACGGAGCAGGAAATGGCGTCCCACAGTAGTCCTGCGGTGATTTTTCCCCCAACTTTCTCACCAAATAAAGCTCCATCGCCCATTAATCTTTGTGTACAAACACTTCACTGCAATTCCAATCCTTCTGACAAGGTTAGAACACATGTTAATTAAGCCAGCCATCACAAAGGAAACATTACTCTGAATGATTCTACATTGTTCACTCCAGAAAAAAAAGATAAAAAAAAAACAAAAAAAAAAACATGAAGCTTGCAAAGCAAATTAACCAAAGTAAACCCGCTTTGTGCATCAATTCCCTCTAATTAGACTTGTGCTACTCGTGTAATCGCAACTGTTAAGTTATTGCTGATTTTGTTGGTGAATATGGTGCATTCATTTGCTTATGAATCACATCAGTTCACCTTGAGAGCCCAGCGCAAACTCAGCGGGGAAGGTCCTGAGTGTGCAGAGTGTCCATCAAACGAG